ATAGATTTAAAATCTTGAAAACGACGGTCGAATTGATCGGAAACTTCAGAAATAACGGAAGTAAATCCTGAGAATTTTATTTCCTTGAACTCTTTTTTCAGTTCAGAGCAACTTGGAAAATGGCAAACATTTTCGTTGTTTAATTGGCATTTAAATAATGTAAGTTTGCTTCGGAATCCATTAATATTTGCCAGCATATCTGAAATAGTGCGACCTTTTCCTTGCAAATTTAAATTTAAATTATTCAAGTGATTTGTAAAATCCGTTAGAAATGCCAATTCTGATAAAAAAGATGGATCCTGTAGTTTTTTACGAATTTGGTAGTATCCGATTTGATTTCTTTACTCAAAAACTCGGCAAGTTCTTTTCTGAAGTAGACAAAAAAACGAACTAAACATTTTCCAGCACTTAACCAACGAATTTCAGAATGAAGAAGTAAATCTCCGTATTCAGCTAGTTCTGACTCTATAAAAAACAGATAACTTCAAGTAATAAAAGTGTCAAAATGTCTAAAAGAAAGAGCACCGAGAACCGCGCTTTCAATAAGAAGTGGGAAATAAAGTATTTCTTTATTCAGAATTCGGACGAGAAGCCGCAATGCGTATTATGTGAAAATTGTTTGAGTAATAATAAAAGTTCAAATCTTGTTCGACACTTCTCTTCACTTCATGAAAAAACATATGGAAATTACTCTGATGACAAGCGACGCGCCGTTGTAGACAAATTCAAAAAAGAGATGCAAGTGTCTGTGCCAGCATCTCTTAATAAAAAGAGTTTAACTGCATCATATGCGGTGTGCTTGAAATTAGCAAAAGCCCAAAAATGCTTCAGCGATGACACACTTGTTAAAGAATGTGCAATAGAAATGGCAAAAGCATTCGACCATAACAATGCTGCTGAAGATTTCGCAACAGTTGCCTTGTCAAAACAAACTGTGAAAAGTCGAATTACTGACATGGGCGATAGTATAAAAGAGAAAATGAAGAATTTAGTTGTTCACTGTCGGTATTATTCTTTGTGTATGGATGAGAGTACTGACCGAACAGATATAAGTCAATTACTTATTTTTATTCGTATAATAATGGACGACTTTTCGGAATATGAAGAACTACTCGCTGTAATTCCGTTGCATGGAACAACAACAGGCCAGGATATTTTTAAAGCTGTAAAAAAGTGTATCGACGAAATTGATGGTTTCAAGAAATGTTCTGCTATTGCTACCGATGGAGCACCGGCTATGATTGGTAGCGAAAATGGATTTGTTGGTCACTTAAGAAAAAACGGTATAAATTGTTTAACTTTTCATTGCGTTATTCATCAGGAAGCATTATGCGGGAAAAGTGTTAGAATGCTGTCCGCAATGAAAATTGTAACAAAAATTACGAACCTTATTCGCGGAGGAAATCGGTCGCTGTCTCATCGAAAGTGGAAAACATTTTTAGAAGAAGTGGATGCTGAATACGGAGATTTACTTCTTCATTCTGAAATTCGTTGGTTAAGTGCAGGAAAATGTTTAGTTCGTTTTTTTGCACTCAGAAAAGAACTTGCCGAGTTTTTGAGTAAAGAAATCAAATCGGATACTACCAAATTCGTAAAAAAACTACAGGATCCATCTTTTTTATCAGAATTGGCATTTCTAACGGATTTTACAAATCACTTGAATAATTTAAATTTAAATTTGCAAGGAAAAGGTCGCACTATTTCAGATATGCTGGCAAATATTAATGGATTCCGAAGCAAACTTACATTATTTAAATGCCAATTAAACAACGAAAATGTTTGCCATTTTCCAAGTTGCTCTGAACTGAAAAAAGAGTTCAAGGAAATAAAATTCTCAAGATTTACTTCCGTTATTTCTGAAGTTTCCGATCAATTCGACCGTCGTTTTCAAGATTTTAAATCTATAGAAACAGATTTAATTTTTTACAATAACCCAATGAAAATAAATGTTCAGTGCGTTAAAAGTGATCTTCAAGAAGAAGTGTGCAATCTACAAAACGATCCATTTATGCTATCGAGAACGGAGACAGACTCAAAAATTTTTGAAGTTATGCCACAAGATCGGTATCCGAAACTCATTGACTTTGCACTTTATATAAAATCATTATTCGCATCAACTTACATCTGTGAAAGCACGTTTTCTATTATGAAGCACATCAAATCTGCTCAACGTTGTTCGCCGTCCAATGAAGTGTTAGAACATCAACTTCGTCTCGCTTCAACGCAAATTAATATTGACATTGAAGAACTTATTAGCAATACTAAGCGCATCCATTTGTCACATTAATATTTTCATTCCTCATTTTATTCACGATACATTCACTACGTCGTTAAACATCGAAATTTCCAAAAATTCACGATGGCCCCGCAATCTCGCACGATGGGCTATCTACGGTCCTGACAGACGTCGGTCGGTTCTGCCGGCTGACGCGTTGGAGGGAGAAGCGTCCGAAGTAGGGGTCGGCTCGCGAGCCACATTTCGTCAGCCCTGTGCTAAACATACTCAAAATGCTTAGAGGTGTATGGTGGGGAGCTCACCCCTCTGCTTTGTTAAATATTTACAAAATGGTTATACGTGCCTCTTTAGAATATGAAAACTTTGTCTTTTCCGGTGTCCCTTATAATCTGTTTCAAAAACTTGAGCGCATTCAATTTCAGACTCTAAGACTTGCACTTGGATTTAGGAAAACTACTCCTATTAATATCCTTCTTGCTGAGGCATGTGTACTATCTTTATCTACTAGATTCTTGCTTCTTACTCGGAGATACCTCATAAGGGTCTTCTCGCTGAACAAACATCCGTTAATCACAAAATTGGAAGATCTTTCTAACATAACTTCTACTCACACCAGACACAACATTTCTAACTCTTTTCTTCTACTCAAGGCTTTTTATTACTGTCGTACTTTTAAAAATCGTATCAAATCTGAACCCATGGCTCCTGCTCACTCAATATCTTTTAACGCTTTACTTTGGACACCTAACATCAGGATCACTGATAGATCTAACTTCGATGAAAACTCTGATTCTAATCAGATCTTTAAAATGATTTACGACAATATAATCAGAAGGAAAAACGTCTTCTATACCGATGGATCCAAAAAATCCGACGGCCTTTATGTAGGGCTGGCTATGTATGCCCCCTCCCTAGAACATTCACCTTTTTATAGAATAACATCTTATGCCTCCATATTCACTGCCGAAAGTATGGCAATTGACATTGCAATCGATCTTATTATTTCCAACCACTTCAAGAGTTCTGTCATTTTTACTGACTCGCAAAGCATTGTCCGCTCTGTTGCTAATTGTTCACCACTACACTGTAAAAATGAGTTTGTCATCCGTCTTAAAAATAAACTTTACTCCGCACACTGAATATTAAGCTTATCTGGATCCCCGCTCATATAGGGATAGCAGGCAACGAAATGGCTGATCGCCTTGCAAATTTAGCCATAAGATACGGCAACAACTTAAATGCGCCCATTCCTTATTCTGATTTTTACTACCACTTCAAAGAAAAAGCATACTCAAGATTCTTCTCTTTTATTGATCGTTGGAAAAATATAAAAGGTTGTCATTACTTTAAACATTATTTTAGCAGAGCCAAAAAACCCTGGTTCCACTCCTTTCAATCTTCAGATCGTAAATTAATCTTTTCCATATCTCGCATAAGAAGTAACCATTATAACTTAAATGCTTCTCTAGCCAGATGTAATATTGTCGACTCTCCGAGATGTCAATGTAGCTATCAGTCTGAAAATATTGAGCATGTTTTGTGGAAGTGCCCACTTTATAATCCTGCTAGAGCTGCCTTTCACTTGGAATTATTAAAAGCTGGAATCAACCCCCCTTTTTCAACAACTACTCTACTAAAGAACCCAACTATCAAAACCTTACATGCATTCGAGATTTTCCTTAGAATGTCTAACTTCTCCTTTTGAATCTCCCGCTTCCTTTATCACTCCCTTCCAACCAAATGGTCGTAAGAGAGAAGACCCCTCGGAGCCACGCCATATTAAACTAAACTGTTTTTCGTTAGTGACAGGTAAATTGAATCTATCACTCAATTGTAATAGAAGAGATACTTCATTAGGAATCGTAAAATTAGAGATGTTCAGAAACCAATTTTCGCGTATTATTTCGAAATTATTCGTGAAATCAAATTTATCAGGTGTGATGTTAATGGTAATATTCTCGTTGTTATCGTTATCTGATTTCTCCAAAGACCATAATTCACCGATACGATCGTCTGTTACATTCTTGTGAAAAGAATAGTTAATCGATTTTATTCTAGATTTCTTTTCCTTGTTCCGTAGTGCAATAAGCCAATCGATTTTTCGATCCTAATCCCCAATTTTTTGGTACAACAATCTTGACACACGTCTTTCCTGACTAGTGAAAAATTCGCAAGTTAAATTCATCGGTAACAAATCAGAAATATGTTTAAAATTATTATAAATATTAATTCTTAAATGTTGCAAAAAGAGATAACCGTCGTTCAACTCCAAACGTATAATTATTATATTACTTATTATATACTATTACCCGACAAAAACAGTACGTGAAATCCACGTTACTACTATGTGGATGAATATCGTGGATTCCACATGGATGTTCGAGTGGATGATCCACTCACAAACGGTACTAGAATCCACGTGGTTATGATCATCAATTTAACGTGGAAATCCATATAAAAATTCGACGAATTTTCTAGATATATCCTCGTAATATCCACGTGAATTCTTGTTTTATAATCGAATGAATTTTATATTAAAAATAAAAGGAAACATGTAAATTGCATAGTGTTTATTTTTAAAACATTGCAATATTACAAAAAAATATATGACATATGAAATGTATACATATATGAAATAATAAAAGAAAGAACATATACTAAGTCATTCTAATATATGTACGTGCGTACATAAAATACAGAACAAATATGTAAGATGTAATTAAAGAACAAATATTAATTACATACATATGCATATAAATGAAAAGAAAAAATAAAAGCAAAAATACAGCAGTTTTAGATTCTAGTCACTTTCATTGCCTTCCGTTTGCTCATTTTGTTGTTTTCTTAATCTAAGCTCTTCATTTTCAAGACGCTTTTTTGCATCCTTTAACCAGTTCGCAACATGGGAGTCTGTAGTTTCTCTATTATACACAAAATGGAGACCTCTATCTTTTCTTTCTTGTGAATGCCTCTTTAAAGCAGCTGCAAACAAAACAGTATCATATATCATTGAATATATTCTTAACGTAAATATGTTAGGAAATGCAATATATTCTTGATGTAACTATAAAATTTAGATTGATTATAGAGATTAATCCATATATTTATATAATATTAATAATATATAAATCTTACCAATGATAAGACCATAAGATATTGTATCTTGAAATTTCTTTTTCTGAATTTTTGCTCCTTCTCTATTTGTTCCTTTTAAATTAAAATTTACTGCGACTTGGTTTGTCATCAGCTTGCGCATAATGCAATACACCGAACCTTTTAAATCTTCTCTGCCATGCTCTACTAATAATCGAATCTGTAAAACATGATAATATATACATAAAAGCAACTACTATAAATAATATTTTTAAAATAAGGAAGAGAAAAAAATATTTGTTTACCATTATCAATTTTTTTTCTTCATTCAAATTGAAATCTTTCCAATTGTAGAATTCCTCCATGGAAGTTAATGGAAGACTTGGAATTCCGATAGAATTTTCACCAATTTCTTCAGGATGACACGTTGCAGCATAAATTTTTATAACTGTAACATGGAGCTTATCAATACGACTTCTCAAATCATTTATAGCAGCCATTATAGTCCTTTCGTTGAAACCGGCGATTTTGTAAAAAAATTTATTATTATTACAATTTATATACAGGGTGTCAATTAAGTCCCGGGACGGCTGAATATTTTCTCATGTAAGGTATTTTTGAAAAAGGTCAAGGTTATTTCTGAAGTAATTTTCAACGAGGAATTCAACAATGACCTTCAATTTGACCTTGAGCTTGACCTTCAAGGTCATTTCAAGGTTAGGTTAGGTTTTTTAAATAGAAACCTCTATTTTTGATTCCAAAATCTAATAGCTGGTGTCAAGAGCTTTTCAAAACACTATAATAAAGTTATTTTTCATTAAGTACTTTTCGAGTTATGAGGCTTGTAAATTACAGTATTTTGACATAAAATACAAAATATCTTGTAAAAACATTCAATTCTTGGGAATCTTACCTTAATACTTTTATGCATAAAATAATAAGACGAATCAATTGGTATAAAGAAAACACATAGTTGCTTTCAAGAAAAAGTATGCAGTTGCATGTTGCAAACTACTGAATTCCTCGTTGAAAAATTACTTCAGAAATAACCTTGACCTTTTTCAAAAATACCTTACATGAGAAAATATTCAGCCGTCCCGGGACTTAATTGACACCCTGTATATTTATTATGAAAAAAAGGAATGAGATATTGTAATAATTAAGAAAAAATTGTGTTTGCTATTGAAAAAACAACTCACCATTATTTTGTAAAGGTGATTTCTTATGGGTATCTGCATATGACTTGCATGTATCTATAAAAGCACAATGAACAATAATTATTTAAAAATTATATATATATAAGTGCAATTTATTAACTTAGTAATGGTATTTCTAATATTAAAAAATAACCTTGCGTCTGTCGTATTATTGTATAAGAATTTCGATCATCACTACTCTCATGCTCAGCCATTATTTTGTCTTGCTTATGCATTTCTAAATTTTTATCAATGTTACATCTCTCTGTCTTTTTTCTAAGATTTACAGTGCCAATACATCTGACATCATTGACACTTTCATTAATAAATGAATAAGTTGGATGTATAGCATCTGATATTTGAAATTTGTATGACTTGGAAAAAGAGACTACATCTAGATAACATTTAAAATTCATATGTATAATGTTAATTCATATGTATAATGTTAATCATCTTTTCAATAATATCAATGAATAATATAATAATTTGCATCGATAGATTTAATTGTTTTATAATTCTTTTAAGAATTCCATTTACATCTATATTTTTTTCATGTAACTATTGTTTACACACACACACACACACACACGCGCGCACACACACATATACACACGCACACACACAAACAATAGTCACATGAAAAAATATAGATGTAAATAAAATTCTTAAAAGAGTTATAAAACAATTAAATCTATCATTAATGCAAATTATTATATTATTCATTATTGAAAGATGATTAACATTATAGAATCAAAATAAGTATTGATCTGATATATTTCGTAAGCAAATAAGTGCCTCATACTTTGTATTTGTTTTATAGAATTCATGTTACTGTCACATCTAGTCATAATATGATTGTTGCTGTATTTGTAATTATTTTCATGTGACTGTGGTGTTTCTGCCCTTGAATTATTGTTGTTTGGTACATATAAAACTGAAAAAGGAATGATAACATTTATCAACAATGCAACTATTAAAAGTACAAATATTGACAGTAGTTGCATTGAAGTCAGAATGACAAATACTCTGACATGAGATGTTTAACAATCAAATAATAATGCTTTACCTTGCGTTGTATAATTGTCGTTGATATTGTCATTATTGTCGTCACTTTCACAAAGTAATGTGTTATTGTTCTTATTATTAGCTGAAATGTTAAAAATAAGTAAAAACATAGAGGACATAAAGAACAATGGACAAGAGAAAATAAAAATTAGAATTTTACAAGAAATGATATTTATAGTCCAATCTTATTATTAAGATTATCTAAAGTGTAGGCTTGGATTGTCTTAAGAGTTCTTTCAATCAATAAAATGACCTAAAACATCTTAAAACAATCTTCAATATAAGAATGGATTATGAATACCATCTTATGCCCATTCTAGGAAGATGATCCTATTTGTGGCTCATCCGAGTACATAGTTTAACAGGTAAAATTATACCGAAGTTGACTTCTAATCGTATCGAATAACCGTATCGAATAACTATTTTTAATTGTAAAAAAAGAAAATATATTTGATACAGTTGATACGATTAGAAATCATTTCAATATAATTTTAACCTGTCAAACTATGCATTCAGATGAGCCATATGTAGGATCATCCTCCAGTCTAGAATGGGCATTAGATGTTATATTAAATGTAAAAGAGTTTTAGTTGCACATAAAATAAAACAAATGTTGCAATTCTGCCAAACGTCACAGTTTATCTCAACATACAGGAAGCCCATTTATATAAAAACCTATATAATTACAGATAATGTATAAACTTTTTTTTTGAATGTAAGAGATAAAAATAACCATGCATATTTAAAAAAAAGTGATACATATTAATAAAGAAAAGAAATATATTAAAGAAAAATAAGAGTCAGTATTTTAAATATAACATTGTAATATAATTTCTATAAAAGCAATTTCTTAAATATGCAAATATTATATTAAATATTTCAATTAAAATATATTTGAAATTCATATTGATAGACAGTAACATATAAGTGATAAAGTCTAATAAATTAAAATATTATGTATATATATGTTACAGCTTTTTTTGCAAAATTAGCCTTTCTGCAAAAAAGCCTATATCTCAAAAAGGCTACGACATATATAAAGTATAATAGAAAAGAAAAAAAGAGAGAACTAATCACTTATTTTCAAGTTTCTTACAGCAGGTGCTCTTAATTCTAAATCACTGTTCGAATCGTCAGCATATGCAATATTTTTTTTGCGTCTATTACATGTTTCAGTTAAAGAAGGGCTATATCTTTGAATAACAGATCGTTGACGCTTTACTTTTCTGTCCTTATCTGACTGTGATAGATCTGAGACATTTAAGGCTTTTTCTGCTTCTTCTTTAGCTCGCCTTACAGATTCTATATAATAATTAAACAAAAAAGCAAGAAAGTATGCAAATTTAAAAGTAAAAATTAATCAATATGAGTAGTCTTGCAAATTAATATTACATATTGGACGATATTGCCCTAAATATTTCTAAGAAAAGAAGCTTTACTGAAGTTGCTGGATGAAATAAAATAGAAAGTATCATATATATTTCTATTAAATTACATTAAGAAATTAAAAGTATAAGGAACAAGAGTTTTTATATATTCAGTATTAAAAGCTAGTTTATGTATAATTGTTACATAAGAAAGAAAAGTTAAGAAAAAAAAAGCCAACAGATTATTTACAATAATAATCATGCATAATGCTAAAATATATATATTTTATATAGAATACCCAAACAATGGGGCGCATTCTTTCTCAACTTTACACCCATGCTGCCCATTTTCTATTTGATCTAAAAATTTTTGAAAAAATCTTAAAATTTACAGAAAAATGTAAACTTTCCAATGGCGCGTGGCAAAATTATCAAATTCAATTGGATCATACTTAAAATTTCAGAAAACCGAAAAAAAATAATAAAAACGGTAATTATTCAAGTGTAGCGATTATTCATTCGACGTTTTTCTCTTCCAATTAACACTTTCGAGTACTCTGTTTATCTGTGTCTATATATATATAATATAATTACTTACTACAAAACTTCAAAATTTTAACATTTTTATATGTGATCCAAGTATCAGTTGGTTTCTTCTTTTTTTCTAAATAATCACTTAGTTTTGATTCGTCAGGAGGCCATTTGCACAAAGTTGCGAATGTAACTTGTTTGCCATCTTTTGCATGCATCTTTATATTTTTTAACCATGCAGTACAAGCTGGCACTGCATAAACATTTGATTCGACTTCATCATGTAACTCTAGTACAACATACTGTAATAAAATACAATATTTCCTTTTATTACCTCTTTCTCTCTCGCACATTATTTTTGTTTATCAACTTACCGGCTTATCCGCTTCTACTTGTATATCTATCTCACTCATGATAAATGGATAATAAAAATAGTAGAAACAAAATACGAAGAATAATATACTAAATTGCACTACAATTGCACTCTTCTACTAATAATAAGATTTCCGCTATCTCGTCCCTGCTCAATCTTTGTCAGCCATCATAGCATTCCATAGCGACGTAAGGGTAAGCGCCTATCGTTTCGCGCTATTCGTTTGGATAAGTCTTAAGGCGTAGCCATATTAGACTACGCATTGACGGGCTTAAGGGAATAGACCAATCACAATTGAGTCTTAGTTGAATGAACAATTGAATCTTAATGAGGATAAACGACTGCAGTCAGTTATAAGTTATTTGAATTGATAGATACATAATATTTGCAATGTCAAAACAGGTATGCTTATTTTTTTACTATTACTATATTAATATTACTGTTAATTTTTTAGTCGCTATATGATGTTTATATTAAAACATTTAGGTCTGTTTCTGTTGAAAATATTTTATGTATAATGTTGTTATTTTTTAGAGGTTATGGAATACAGAATGGAAGAGGATGAAGAGAAAATCTAATCAGAATCTCCACATGTTAGCACAGGAAGAATATTTTCAATATATTGCTGAAAGGAGTGCTTATTATGATGTAAAAAAAAAGCGTTGTAATGAAGAACAACAAAATAAAAATGAAGATCAAGATATAGATATTACTTTTAATGATGATTTCATAAGCAACAATAAATATTGTAATTACATATCTATAAATATTTATTAACTTTTGCTCTAATATTATAGTTTATAATTGTTATTCACATTAATGTAAGTTCATTAATGTATTAATATAAACTTTATT